TTTGCAGATAAAGTTCTTTTCCTGAGATAAATTGCTTGGAAATTAAATTTTTTGTTGATTAGTTTTTTATATTATTAATTTGGACAATATTTTACTTTTTATTCCTCTTAAATTTATTATTTAAATGGTACAAATGTTGTGGGATATGGTTTTAAGCATGGAATTTGGTTATGTTAATTTGTAATGATTTTTCGTTAAATAATCATGCTAAATTTCGGATTTTTTTTTCTGTGACTCAAATATTTTCGACAGCCAATTTGGCTGTCGAAAATGTTAGCTTTTTTTAGAGAAACAATCGACAGCCAGTTAACTGCCGAATATAAATATAATCGACAGTATATTACTGACGAATATACCTATATTCGACAGTCAGATGGCTGTCGAATATGTTTAGCTTATTTTATCAAACATAATCGACAGCAATTCTACTGTCGATTATACATGTAACCGACAGTCATGCCTGTCGATTATATATCATAACCGACAGATATAATTTCTGTCGATTATATGAATTTTCGACTCTCATTTTTTCGGCAGAAATTACTGTCGCTTATGTCTGTCGGTTATAGTATAACCGACAGAATAATTGTTATTATCGATAGTATTGACTGTTGAATATACTGCGTTTTCTAGTAGTGATTTTTGCTCGAATAATGGGGAAAACTTCAGCGAAAGAGGCTTGGGAAGAATTGGCTAAAATACATGAAATGAAGAATAAATGGCTCTTGGATGGACCTCACTCATCAAATAAAGGGTCAGAGCTCCGCAGATTCTTTGAGGGAACCATTCCAGGTTGTTGAAGTCCTTTTCTTTAGCTCCAAAATACATATGATCAATATATATATATATATAATCCCTTGGTGACGTTTCTTAAGGACTATAACTTATTAATTGTTGCAGGGCAAACGAAGCGCATTGAAAGGACTCGTTGCAATGAATTCTTGAAAGCCATTCTCAATAAGAACTGGGATACCCTAATGAAATTGTTAGAAGAGTGTCAGCTTGTTGGAAAAAATCCACAAATTTTGGGTACTAATAGCATTCTTCATATTGCAGTACAATTAAATGATGTGGAGTGCGTTATGAAAATAGTACAGATAATGTCCGAAGAAGAAATCTTGTCCCGAGATGGCATTGATTGGACAGTTCTTGCCTATGCTACCTATTCTGAAGCAACGGACATTGCAGAATGCTTAATTACGAAGAACAATAACTTGCTCACAATCCCAGACACAGAAGGAATGATTCCAGTGACGCGGGCATGCGTCCAACGCTCCAAGGAAACCACACTCTATCTCTACTCTCGGACTCAGGAATTCCTAGATCCGGAGAAAGGCAAGCATGGTTCCTTGCTCCTCCATTTTTGTATACTTAATGAAATGCTTGGTAAGAGTTTTATTTATTTACCTACATGTAAGAGCAAGTCCGAGGTGCCCAACCTCGGACGTACGACAGTAGTTCCTTTACAACTGGAGTGAAAAGTAAATCCAGAGCTTCCCGCTCGAACAACTGCACAGCAGTTATGATGGACGTCCTTGTATCTAAATATATCTCAATCTCCCGGTCCCGAAATAACCGTCTGGAGATACACATCAGATCCCGAATATCTTGCGTGGCTTAATTTCCCGGTCCTGAAATAACTGCTTGGAGATACACATCGGATCCCGGATATTTTGCTTGGCATGCCGCGTGGGTTCTTCATCGGAACATATAAAAATCCCTTAAGGGCCACGCCAAAAGGTAATTGAAACCAACCCTAAGCTCCTTTCATCTCTGCTCTAAAGGTAGCCCCGATTATTGCTGACTTAAGCATCGGAGTGTCTACCCTGAGGATCCACCTCGGGGCTTTGCAGGTCAATCCGGAGTGCAGACGCGAACTGAAGAAGGACTTCTAGTTTGGTGCAGTTACATTTGGCGCCGTCTGTGGGAATCTGAACTAAAGGCTCCCTTGTTGCTCTTATCATGGTTAAAACTAGGTCAGCTCGAGGTGGAAACTCGTCTCAACCTCTTGGACGAGGTCAGGTCCCCAGCAACCTTCCACCTCATCCTCCACCCCCAATCCCGAATACATTCCCTCATGTTGACCATACAGAAGGAGGGGATGAAAATCAGCCACACAATTCGACTCGCAACTCAGCCTCTACCGCTAACTAAGATGTAGTTGCAACTCAGCTCGCTGCCATGCAACAGCAGTTTGGTGTCTTTCAGCTAGTGCTAGCTCAGCTGTTAGCCCGGAACAATCCTGGTGATCCACTCGTCAACCTACTTAATCCTGCCCCACCACAACCCCCTGCCCCACCACAAAATCTTGAACCAGTTCAGCAAGCTCCCGCTGTTAGTGAATCTCAAGGCCAATCTCACATCGCACCAGCTCAGCAACCCTTTCATGATGATGTCACTCGACGTCTAGATAGCTTAGAAAAGCTAGTGGTTGAACAATGAGGTGCCCCACCTCCACACCCTGCTGCTGACTCCGTACCCCACCCTCTCAACACCAATATTATACTGGAACCCTATCCCGCTGGCTTTATAATACCACAGCTTGAAACTTATGATGGGACGAATGACCTCGATGATCATCTACACGCTTTCTACTCTTGCATGCGGGCCCAGAACGCCTCTGATGCGTTGATGTGCAAAATCTTTCCCTCTACCCTCCGAGGTAATGCTCGAACCTGGTACTACAGTCTGCCTCCGAGGTCAATCAACTCTTACACAAAAATGGCATCTGCTTTTGCCACAAAGTTTTCCAGTATAAGGTTGATTAGGAAAACCACTTCTGAGTTGATGCGAGTTAAGCAGAGGGACGGAGAGTCTTTGAAGAATTTTATGAGCAGATTCAATGATGCAGTGCTGGAGGTTAACTCTTTCGACCAAGCTGTGGGAATTACAGCTGTGATCTTAGGTCTTAGCCATGAGAGATTCAGAGATAGTTTTCTCAAACATCCTGCCAACACCTTCAACGAGGTAAATGATAGATCGTTGAAATTCATAATCGCTGAGGAATATGCCCTGTCACAGAACCTAACTCCTATTAAGAACCAACACCCAGACTAGAGAGATGAGAATCCGAACAGGAAACGGATGAAGACAACACAGAACCGTGGTCCGATGTCGACTTCCACCCTGTGATTCGGAAGGCCGAACTCAGCACCTCCGCAACAACCTGCAGGTAAACCTTCAGTTAATTGGACTCCTTTTAATTTACCGAGGTCACAAATCTTTATGCAGATTAAGAATAAGATGGACTTAAGACGTCCGGGTCCAATGAGAACTGCTGCTACTACCAGAGACCATACTAGGTATTGTGATTTTAATCAAGATCACGGTCATACAACAGAGCAATGCAATAGTCTGAGGTCCGAGCTGGAAAGTCTGGCGCAGAAAGGAATGTTGAATGAGTACATCCAGAGAGTTGAACAGCCACGGTTTGTCAGGGAACAAGGGCCACAGCCTCAAGGAGTCCGTAACCCACCAAACAGGCAAGGTGTGGGATATCAGCAAACCCCACCCCCGCTCCCCCCACCAGCTAGAATTATACACATGATTACAGGAGGCCTGGAAGCCGGTGGACTGAACTCTAAACAGAGAAAGTTGTATGTCAGAGAGATTAAGCATCCAAACCGCGCCCAGAAATGGAAATTTGATAATGCTGACTGGAAGAATCAACCTATTACTTTCACATCTGCTGATTTCGACACAGTCGTCATACCTCACAATGACCCCCTAGTAACTTCTGTCATGATCAATAATTGTGAGGTGCAGCGCGTCCTTGTCGACACAGGGAGTGCACCAGACATCATGTACTTCCATTGTTTTGAAAGTCTTGGGTTGGATCCGACTTTGTTGCAGCGGTATGATGGTCCCATCTACGGATTCAACAACCAGCCAGTCCCCGTTGAAGGAGTCCTCACTATGAATGTTGCATTTGGAAGTGGGCAGAGTTATGTGACCCCTTCAGTTAGGTTTCTGGTAGTCAAGATGACGTCCTCATTCAACGTCGTCATTGGCCGACCCACACTGACTAAAATCCGAGCTGTGGTTTCCCAATCTCACCTATGCATGAAGTTCCCAACTCCTACGGGAATAGCAACGCTGCGAGGCAACCAGGAGGTGGCCTGACATTGCTATATCACCTCGGTAACACAACCTCAGAAGGGCAAGGCTCAGACACCTGAAATTAATCCCAAACGGGTCCCTGATGATCGGCAAGTTATGGGTGTTGAGATAGTAGATAACCGACCAAAAGATGAAACCAGAGCTGTTCCAGTCGAAGATGTGGAGGAGGTACAGATTGATGACAGAGATCCGAGCTGGAAAACGCAAATTGGGACTAAATTAAACCCGGAGGAAAGAGCAGCGCTAATAACTTTTCTTCGGGCCAATAAAGATGTTTTTGCATGGACTTCAGCAGATATGCCGGGAATTCCCACTTCAGTTTCTCAACATAAACTCAGCACCAATCCACTCAAGAAACCAGTAGCCTAGAAGTGACGCCTCTTTGGGGGGGAAAGGTTAAAGGTTATTAAAGAAGAAGTCGAGAAACTCCTACAAGCTGGCTTTGTCAGAAGGGTCGATTATTGTGAGTGGGTCGCCAATTCGGTGCTGGTGAAAAAAGCAAACGGTAAATGGCGGATGTGCATCGATTACACTAATCTCAACGACGCATGTCCAAAGGACTGTTCCCCAATGCCAAACATTGATAAGCTGGTTGAGGCAGCTTCGGGAAATGAGAGATTAAGTCTTTTGGATGCATATTCAGGGTATCACCAGGTGCCAATGGCTCTAGAAGACGAAGAAAAAACCTCGTTCTATGCCGGCGATGAAATTTATTGTTATGTGATGATGCCCTTCGGCTTGAAGAACGCGGGTGCCACTTACCAGAAGATGGTTACCATTGTGTTTCGAGCTCAGATAAGCAGGAATCTGGAAGTTTATGTTGATGACATAGTGGTGAAGAGTTTGAAAGCTGAAGATCACTTAACCGACCTCGAGGAGACATTCAAAAACCTCAGAAAGAACAGAATGAGGCTCAATCCAGCAAAGTGCATCTTCGGCGTGGAGTCTGGAAAATTTTTAGGCTTCATGGTGTCCAGGAGGGGGATCGAGGTTAACCCCGAGAAGATTAAAGCAGTAGCCGAGATGGAACCGCCGAAGTCAGTAAAAGATATACAGAGGTTGATTGGAAGAGTGGCAGCTCTTCATCGATTCATATCAAAGTCAGCAGATAAATGCCTGCCATTTTTCAAGATTATGAGGTCAGCCGCCCAGAAGGATGAATCAGGTAAACAGAAGAAGTTTGAATGGAGTTAGGAGTGCCAAGCCGCATTTGACGAGCTGAAGTCTTATCTTAGCTCACCACCTCTACTAACTAAGGCCGTAGATGGAGAGATTCTCTATTTATATCTGGGAATTTCAGATGAAGCCATTAGCTCGGTCCTGGTGAGAAAGGACCATATCATTCAACCCCCAATCCAGAGCCCAACGAATGGACCTTATATGTTGATGGGGCGTCTAGTAGCAAAGGTTCAGGAGCTGGAGCTCTCTTGATCGACCCAGATGGGTACCGAAGTGAACATGCCCTGAAGTTCAACTTCGATGCAACAAATAACATGGCTGAATATGAAGCTCTGCTACTTGGTTTACAACTAGCATTGGAGTTGAAAATCAGCGCAATCCAGGTATATAGTGACTCCCAGTTGGTGGTGAACCAAATCAAGTCACTCTGCGAAGTTGTTGATCCGGTAATGATGAAGTATGTAGCCCTTGTGGCCGAGCTGAAGTGCAGATTTCAGAGGTTCTGCCTAAGCAAAATTCCCCGGGCTGAGAATGAACAGGTAGATTCACTTTCTAAATTTGCCTCGAATAGCTCTTTAAATTCTAGATCAGTTTTTGTGGAGGTCCTAGATGCACCAAGCTTCACGAAGCTGCGGGTGATGGAGATCAGCACAGACCCAAGCACGCCAAGCTGGACTGACTCAACTGTCTCCTTCCTACGAGATGGAGTAATACCTGAGGAGAAGCAGGAGGCAATGAAGTTGAGGAAGAAAGCATCTCGGTATATACTTGTTGATGGGGTCCTCTATAAGAGATCTTTCTCACTCCCTCTCATACGGTGCTTGAATCCCTATGAAGCAAAATATGCGCTCAGGGAGGTGCATGAAGGTGTCTGCGGAAGTCACGTGGGTGCTCGAACTTTAGCTCACAAGGGTTATTATTGGCCCAACATGTACAAGGATGCCACTCAGTTCGTACAGAGGTGTCAGAAATGTCAGTTCTTCGCACATCTAATTCACTAGCCTGCAAAAGAGCTCACTACGTTGGTGGCACCTTGGCCATTCGCTCAATGGGGTCTTGACCTTTTAGGCCCATTTGTGAAGGGGGTAGGAGGTGTAACCCATCTCATTGTCAGTGTAGATTATTTCACAAAATGGGTTGAAGCTCGGGCATTATCCAGTCTCACCTCCAAGAAGGTCAAAGACTTTGTTTTTAGCTCGATTATTTGCAGATATGGGATCCCGAATCAGATTGTAACTGATAATGGAACTCAGTTCAATTGCTCCTCATTCCGAGATTTCTGTTCCAGTTACGGGATTAAACTGCAGTTCACCTCGGTTTACCATCCGGAGTCCAACGGCATGGTCGAATTTGTTAACAAATGCATGTTAGAAGGTATAAAGCCGAGGCTAGAACAACACAAGGCCAAATGGGCAGACGAGCTCAACAACGTCCTCTGGGCATACAGAACTACAAGTCGAACTACCACAGGTATTACTCTACACCTCGCATATTTGATTAATTTTATATTATTTTACTTCTTCTACGGCTTTACCTTAGAGCAAATATTCATAACGCGTAAAGCGCATTCTAAAGTTATAATCAACTGAAATAGGTGAAACACCCTATCATCTGGCCTTTGGTACCGAAGCAGTCATTCCTATCGAGATAGGAGTCCCAAGCTTCAAGGTCACCCATTTCAATGAAGGGCGAAATGGACAACTGCTTCGGGAGAACCTTGATCTGCTTGACGAAGTCAGAGAAGAAGCACGACTTCGAACTCTAGTCTACAAGCAGAAGGTAGCAAACTTTTACAACAAACGAGTTCGACCCCGACCATTCAAAGTAAGCGACCTTGTTCTCAGGAAAGCTGGTCTAACGGGGTTCGAAACTCGATTTGGAAAGTTAGTACCAAACTGGGAAGGCCCCTACACCGTAGCCGAAGTGCCACACCCAGGTGCTTATATCCTACAAGATACTGAGGGAAAAAGGGTTCCTAGAGTCTGGAATGCCAATAACTTGAAGAAATTTTACCCTTAATACACTTCTTTCCAGTAAACTTTGTTTTAACCACCATTATTCTGATTGCTGTATATCAAAACTCAATTCATATGAATTTCACTTCACATTCGAAGTATTTCAGTTCTTTCTACCCTTCTGTACATTAGAAGTTAATTCCTTATGGCTTATTTAATCCTTTCATTTTCTGGGATACAATTTTTTCAATTACATTGGTTTATTTCATCTCCTTTCATTTATTTGTGGTCTGCCTCGTGCATGTCCGAAGTCAATTCCTTGCCTAATCGTGTTATGGTGTCCGAGGTCCGTTCCTTATGGTTATCTTATTTCATCTGAAGTGATTTACTTGAAACAAAAATAACGAACAAAACATCAAAATAATTTCAAAAATTTTATAAATTTGTAAACAATCAATTACAAAAATGTTTTTACAAAAATAAAAACAAAAATAACTATAAGATATGAAGACCTAAGCTACTCTGCTGAAGGAGGAGGCTGCTCCTCAGCAGGAAGAGGTAGAGGGGGTGGTTCATCTCCAGTAGGCAGGGGCGGCACTTCTGCTTTAGGAGGAGCCAGCTGCTGCACCTCGTCAGAGGAGACTGGATGCACTTCGGGAGGTTGCACTTCGGCCATTGCTGCCTGATCCTCAACTCTAGTGCCTTGCGCTCCTTCTTCTTCTTCTCCTTCTTCCTCCACGACCACCAACTCAGCATCAAAGGCTGGAGTAAAAATGGCGCACCCCTCTGCATCACGCTCCCACCTTAGAGTAATTTGAGGTCGGAAGTCAGCAGAGAGGCTCTCACCATCTTCCTCCACCCCTTCTTCTTGCTCCCCAAAAGTGACCGTTCTGACGTCCACCTCCAAATACTGAGCCTTCACCTTCTTTCTACAGTCGGTAAAGGCCACGATGGCGGTAGGCAGCCGATAGAGGTTGATGATGTTCTTGAACGTGCTGGAGTTGAGGAAGTTACCAATATGCTCCTCCATCCCATTGTGAACTAGCAGGTTCACATTCTTCTTCAGCTCCGCTGCTCCTTTCTTCATGTTCTCAATATATTTATCCTGAGCCTCGAGCTTGTCTTCGCAGATCTTCCTCTTGTGTTCTTCAAGAACGAGTTTCATGCTCAGGACATCATTGTCGTTCTGGAGTCCGGTAATTGAAGGAAGAACCTCATCCAGCCTCCTCTGCATCTCTTTCCTTTCTTTCTGCCACTCCTCCTTCTCCATTTGCAGCTCCTCCCTCTCCTTCTGCAGCTGCTCGCACTGCCTCTGCAAGCTGGCACGATCTCTCACACTCTCCGCGTACTCCTGCGCTAGAGCGTTTGTCCAGCTTACACTCTGCAAGGTAAGCAGAAGTCAGACCTCAAACACAGGAGTAAAATTAAAACAGGACTAACCTACATATCCCTTACATACCTCCAGGGCATGCCTCACCACAGTAGCTCCTAGCCGACTCACCGCCTCATCCCTCGCCCGCCTCCTATCCACCTCAAGGAGAATACAGTTGAGGAAGTGCTTCGCCCCAGTCGTGTTTGCCGCCTCAAACAAGCTCTTCTCGTACAAATGAGGAGGGATGAGCTCCTTGCCCCTGCCAGGGCCTCGCACCTCAGCCCCTTCCCTTTCCCTGACCTCAGGGTTGATTTCAGGAGCAGAGGGGCGAGGTACGAACTCAGCCACCTCATCCCCCCTCACCTTTGGTTCAGCCACCTTCCTCTTCTTCCTCTGGAGTGGTGCCACCTCCTCACTCACATCCTCACTATTCCCCCTTGCAGGCTCTGGTCTCTGCTGTATCTCCAGCACTCGAACAGAAGCGCTGGGCAGGCGCTCTTTCTCTACCGCCCCTTTGTCTGCCGCAGTCGAAGTCTTTGACTTCTTCCTTGGCTTCTTGGGGATGCGCAGCCCTCCAACAGCATTGATATATTCGTCCATCTCAGCTGCAGAGCAAAAACAAGTGTTAAAACACAATAGCTGGAAATTCAAGTAAGTGATACAATATAAATATACACAAACCTTCGCTCAATGAGCTTGGCCCATAGAGCTCAACAGCTTCTATTGCCTTAGGACTGGTGAGGTACAAGATATCCACTACGTCTCCATCTTCCCTCACCAGCTTCTCCACCTCCTCCACCTCATCCTTGTTCAACTTATAGTTGTTCTGCTTGGTTTTCTTTGCTTTCCAAGCAGACAACTGTTCCACTTCGGCATCCCTCCTGCTCCACTCGGTGTCATCCACAAAGAAGAATTTTTCTTTCCATCCTTTGATGGATGACGGTCCAGCAGTGAATAAATTCCTATTATCTTTG